TATAAAAGTTACACGTTATCCCACAGGCCTATATTTTTATCAGAGTTATAAAAGTTACACGTTTCCCACAGGCCTATATTTTTATCAGAGTTATAAAAGTTACACGTTATCCCACAGGCCTATATTTTTTATCGATTGAGCTAAAATATGCATTCCATCAAAAAGATATCTTTTCTATACAGTCTTCTTGAACTCCATCGAAATAACCCAAAGTCCACATAACCTTTCACAGCAGTTCGTGACGTCAAGTCATACGGTTTACACGTGCTTATTGTCAGATTTATTATATGTTTTACCTAATAATTAGCGTACCTTAAGGTTCATGGTTCGGAAAAACGCGCTCCGCTCTTTGAGACCGTGGGTGCACTATATGATTAACTGTAAAATCCTACTATTCTTACAGACAAAAAAGTAGCTCGAGAGTGACGGTGGGTGCTGCTGACTAGTTGCCTTTTGTCTTGTCTATTAATTGAAAATTAGGGACAGCTAATTGTAGATATATTTTCTTGTGTGTGTGTAGCTTTGCTCGAAAGTTCTAAAACAGAGTAACAATGTTAATCAAAATCCAAGTTATATAACAAACGATGTTATATATGTTATAGCATAATTCAACCTGATTATCATCATAGTGAAAGACTTTAGTGATCATAAACGTGAAGTTTGATCTCACTGACCAGAATCTTGAAACGTCATTGGACTACAGGAAACATTACTGGTAGAGACCAAAAAAAAACCACTGCCTGTGATAACCGTGCTTTGATCAGGTTAATACATCAAGGTCGAAAGAAGTCTTGCAACACCTTATGACAGGAATGCCATGAATATATTCATTCCAGGGTATCCAGAAGAACAGTGAATAGGAGACTGACAAAACAAGGTTATTTTACTACCTACAAACTAATCTTAACCAGAAGTCACCATGTTACTTGGACAAGACAACATGCCAACTTAGTTAGGACATTTGTGACATGTCATCTTTTCAGGTGAATCATAGGGCAAGGTGTGGCAAAACTTTGTGTTCCAGGATGACAGTAGCTCAGCGGTAAATCTGCAGGCTTACAACGCTAAAAATCGGGTTTCGATACCCGTGGTGGGCAAACACAGATAGCCCATTGTGTAGCTTTATGTTTAAAATCAACCTTTAGGTATTAACTATTAAAAACGGTTACTGTTGTAAACCCTTTATTGAAAAGGAACAACTGACTAATAGGTTCTGATAGATAATACATAACATGGAAAAATTCCTAACTTAAGACTCTTTTTGGAAATACGTTTTCAATAGGTTAATACTCTCCATGATAATTTCCACTTTTGGAAGAACTTGATAGCGCTGGATTTTCCACAAACCTTTTTTTATATGAAGCTCTAACTCTCAAGCTTCCAAATTTTGTTGTATAAAATCGACTACGAGTGGGGGTCCATATATTGAGTATTCATGTGGTTTTTCCCTGTTATGATAACTAATTGGCGATGTCAATAATTTTCTATGTGAAATACATCGAAAATCCCCATCAGTAATTGGTAGGCTTAATTGCGATATTGATAGTATATTTGTAATTTTTTGTTTTCTCAGCGCAAAGATACACAACGGTATGTTCACCGAGAGGAATCGAACTCCGTATTTTAGCATCGTAAGTCCCTAAACTTGCCGCTGACCCACCGGAGGAGAGATACATTTGTTTATATGTTTTTCGCGACTCATTTGTTTGTTTGTTTTGGAATTTCGCGCAAAGCTACACGAGGGCTATCTGCGCTAGCCGTCCCTAATTTAGCAGTGTAAGACTAGAGGGAAGGCAGCTAGTCATCA